GCTTCACAGAGTTTGCACGTCTGCTTCGTAGATCAAAGGTGCAGTATCAGGCTGAGGCAAGGATACAATTTAGCCTTAGAGAAGGTCTTCCTGTGGCTAAAATTATTTCAGAGTCTCTCAGTTCAGAGACTCAGCATCCTTTCTCCAGATCACTTCAAGTTTCATATTTTACCTTGGAAATATTAATAGAAGTCAAATTTTTAAAAGGTGTCCAAAACTTGCACGCACATCTTTGAACCATGTGGAGGCAGACTTCCAGAAGTTCGGAAAGCTTGCTGCTGTTTCAGACACGTCTCACCAGCGGTTCCCCAAGGATCACTTGTGGCAACAGACAACCAACCAGGCAGCCTCACAGGGCCACAATCTGTGGTGTGCCTGCAACTGTGCATGATTACCACCAACAGCCAGGATTTATGATTACCTGAGATCAGTGAGAGGCAGGTCCTCAGGACTAGATCCATACAGGGCCTTAAGAATATAAGAAATTTGCCTTCTGTAAGTGTCTAAGCCAGCTGTCCCAGCAACTCAGCCATCACACTGTGCAATTCAATCCACCTGCTCATGCCTGCCAACATACACAGAGGCTCTCTCCTCACAGAGGAAAGATGAGTAAGGTGCTGCAGCGAGGTACTGATAGGGGATGCTCCAAATATATGTTGGATATGACAATTTCCAGACACCTGCCCTCCAAAGTGAAATTTATAGACATGAATTTGATCTTTAAACTACTTATGCGATACCAGGAATTATTAGACAGTTTCAGGGGAAGTTTTGAGGATAAACGTACATATTAAATCCCAAACGTTTTTGAGAAAATAGGCACATAAACCCTTCTCTTTTCAGGAATCAAAATCCTAAGTACCCTCTTGATGTTAAATCCTAAGACACAGAGTTCGAGGACAGAGCAGGGACTGCCCAGGGCAGGTCCGGTTTTAGTTCCTTTCTCTGAAGGGATCCAAACTAATTCTCGTGAGAATGCCTTTTCAAACCAGAAACTATCTTCCTGAGATTCAAGGCACTCTCAAACTTGCAATTAAGACCAAATTAAGCTAAGAAGAGTGAAAGAATAACCATGACTGTAGCTCATGGGCTAGGTACTTTCAAAACTTAAGTCCTTCATCCCGTTATCCACCCTAAAGACTTCATTAAAAGTGCCCTCAGAACAGAAATCAGGACTTGCAAACAAATTCCTTATCTGGTAGACTACAGAGTCACTCCTGCTTTTATGCTTAAAAAGAACCAAACTACTTGGTCCTGCCAAGACAGCTGTCACATTTGTTACTTACCAAAGCAAAAGTATATGCTTAAAGGGTTGGAAAGGAGTGCAAGGATTGCCTTTTGTGAACTTGTATTTAAATAACTAGATTTATGTGAAAAAAAACCCAAAACAAAAAACCAAAACACAACAGAACTGTCTCAAAGTTGCAGCCATTTCTGAAACTCCAACAGTAATTCTGCGTTCCGGTACCCAGCTAAAAATTAATTAATTCATTAACTTGTCTTAGTAAATCAGTACTTCCTGATATCAGTTAACCTACAGTAAAAACTGGGTGACTGTAAAGTACTCTGCTGTTTGCTACAAAAGGTATGGCCTTGACCTTGCAAAACCCCAAGAATGTAAGTAACAGCTATAAAGAAAGAATTGAAGCTTCATGAGGAAGATGAAGCATATGAACATCTGACTGCTTCTGCATAAAACTCTGTTTTATTTTAACAAGATAAAAAGCTGCCAGTGCACAGATAAATGTCTTGCATGTGGTTGGGAACAAAAAGGATCAGCTCTGAAAATGTAAAAAGAAAAATAAAAGAAAACACACTAACACTTAATATCTAGTGTTTTATAAGCGTCATCCTAATGGAAGATCTCAAACCACTTGTCTTCTTCAAACTTCATTTCTTAACCACCAAAACCCCATTTCTAAACAAAAATTGTTCCAATTTTAGGATGAATATCAATTTCTAATGTCTAAATACTTTCCATTACAACCACCCCAAGCAATTATCTTTTTTTGTCCCACCAGTGATGCTAATCTTGGAAATCCAACAAAAAAAGTAATATATTCCCTAAGATACTACTCCTTGTATACATGTGACAGTGTCTCACTTTTTGGCACAAAGAATTAAGAAAAAATGTACAAACAATACTGAAACATGTCTAAAATATTCACTTATGAGCAAGGAGCTCCATTCTGACTTTAACACATTTAAACCTATCCCTCCAGCCCAAACAGGACACTGTGAAGCAATAAAACCTTGTCGCCAGGTTTATAGACACTGGTATCAAGAGGCTGATAACAGCTCACACAATATTAAACAATAATATTACATTTATCGAGATTTCCTGAATAGCAACAACTAATATTGCTGCTAACACAACCTTCCATTTATTGCATTAGATTCAGATTGGTACTTCACACGGAAGTGCAGAGAAGCCTCCTATAAGTTACTTCACTGAAGCACTCTGCAATGTTGCACTTGAAAGCAACTATTTAATCATAACGGGAAAAAGTAACCTCTCCCCATACACACCTTTTTGGTTTTCTTTTTTTTTTTTAAAGAATTGACTACTTATTTCAGATATAACGCCTTGAGCTCTGTCTCCCACGTTTGCATGGAAGTAAAGCATGTACTAAAATGCAGACATGTCCTGGAGTGCTTTACTAAATACAGCCAGCATCAGGAACCAGCGATGTGTGTAGATCCAGTTAAAACACTAACAGAATATTCTGATATCTTAGAAAACCTTGTTCCAATCTCACTTGTTAATCACCACATTGTGGATGTTTCCAGCTGAGTGGACAGGTCTCTTGTTACAGCTATGTAGCAAATGCTTCTGACTTTGTAAAGCTCCTCACAAATATTATGCCTCAAAGCATTGTGAAATTCTTGTACCTTGATGAATCTTTGCTCTGTGATAACTTTTAGTAATATTTAGGATTGATCCTGCTCTACTTTTGATGAGACAGAAACTGATGGGAGTCCTTGAAGACTGAAGAGATGCATTTTAAAACAAACTGACATGTTTCATCACTATAAATAGTGTAGGCTTTTAAAATCTGTATCTATTTATTTTTAAGAGAAAGATACCTTTGATGTTAATATGGATCTAATGCATTTTCTTACCTTGTGGCTTTCACTTTTGTGACCTATTCAATTATTTCATATAATACTTCTGAAGAAACAAAGTCATTCACAGTGTAAGTAGTATAACAGAGACTTGATCATTCACAGAAACATCATTCCTAAGGTATCAGAGTCATATTAAACACTTTCTAGATGTATGCATCCAATTTTGGCTGTTCTTACTCAGAGAACTGACTGTTTACATTAATAGTCTAATTTTTTTTGAAACAATGTTACTATAAAGTTTTGTAAAGAAATTTATCTGCTTTAGTCATTATTAATCATAAATATATCTTTAAATTTATGCACTTATTTATTATCACTTCAGTTACAGTCAGGTGGTACAACATAACATATCATGCATGATAAGCACGACTCAAACATCATTTAATTGACTTCAAGACTTTGACTTTAAAAGACCAGGTCAGGCCCAAAGATGGTTAATTATGCACTTAATGAGCATGAACTTCATCTGGTTTCAGCCACAGGAACTTTAATGAAGGTAGACATCAGAAATATATTTCTTCTATCATATCGGGGTTTTTTCTTGACACCTTCAGCATCACAGAAGCTTTACAGGTAAATAAAATGAAACAGAACAAGTGGGTCCTTGAATAATGATGTTAATATGCAGCCTTATTTCATACTGATTTGTACCTTATACTTGACAGGAGCACTGACTGAAGCTGCTTCCGTGAAGAATGTGTAAAGTCTTAACGCTCCTACCATCCACACTCCCTGGCTCTAACAGCATTCGAAAGAAGGTACAGCTTCTTTCCCATGGCAGCACCACTGGAGGACACCTCTAGGATCCCCACCTCTACCTGGATGTTTGTAAAGCTTTAGGAACTGGTTGCATTTGGGATCCTTCCCTGCTATCACATCTGACTAAAATGAGTCAAAGCAGGGGAGGCAGGCAAACAGAGTGATTCATACAGAGACACTTCCCTTAAGAAGCTTTACAAAAAGGTCCAGGCCAACCTGCTGAAAAGAAAAGCTATCCCAGAAGGATTATAAAGTGAGTTAAAAGCCCTCAGTTGCTCAGGCAGAGACCTCATGCCAATGTTATGGTTTTACACTACGTGTTCCCATTTCAGTCACCATGTTCACATCTTACCCAAGTTTTCCCCCCTCTCCTTCCTGCCATGCCAAAGACTCTCAAGTAATAAAAGAGGGAACCAGCACCCTGGTGAAACCAGTGGCACATGGGCCACAGCCAGAAAGTTTATTTGCTCTTTCCAGTTGGCAGTGTCATTTCTAGCAACGTCACGTAAAACATGTCCAGTTTTCTAGATGTTGTGCCCAGGAGTTGGTATTGGCTCCTTCTTTTCATTTGAAGTTGTGAGAAAGAAAAGGCGCCAGGGACCTTGGTCATAAGAGAACACTTTCAAGGCTTACAGGGAAATGCTTCCAGTAAGACCTTGTATTACACTTGCATGCTGAGCAAATGCTTAACACCCGAAAAGCCAAGCAGAAGGAATCCCTGCTCTGAGAGCATTTCCCCTCTGCTCCCCCCCACCCTGGTGTGTTCTCATAGTTTCCAGTGAAATAACAGATCAGCTAGTGAAGCAATTTACCAAAGGTTGCTCAAATTAAGTAATAAATTCATTTGTCCGAGTCCAGCGAGGGTTTATGACACCTGACAGACAAAGCCCATTCCTGGTGATAAAACCCCAGCAACAACAACAACAAAAAAAGAGAGATCTCATCATTCAGCAACAAGCGGGACTCCCAACGCCTTCCCCACAGATTTTTCCAGAGCCCAGTGCTTGGCCCCATTCTCCCCTGAGCAGGGGAGAAGAGACCCCCGCACTGCCGCTGCCTGCTTCTGCCTGCTGTCCCGGATCACACGCGTCCCGCCGCGCCGGGCTTCCCACCTGAAGAAAAGTTTGGAGAAGATGTTCGCCTTCTCCAGGGGGGACCTCTGCATGGTG